ATTACTTACACATTCAGATAGTAATGCTCTTTCTTAACCTTTCAAGTCTAGTCTACAATAAATAAATTAGAAAAAACGTGGACGTGAGAGGAGCCCTTTCATATCATTGCTAAAGATATTATTATGTCTCCCATCTGGGTTCCCAGGTGCTGCCGCAGTGGGTTGAATGAGAGACTCCAACAGCCAGTATGTATCTTTCAGATGCTTCTGTTTAGGATGACCTGCAGCAGGAAAGAGCAGGACAATATAGATCTCATTTGAACGTTTAACGTTTAAAAATTGGCTAAAGTCCTACAGAGTGAGATTTTAATCTCCCTTCTTAATGCTTTGTTCATTATAACAGTAAGGATGCACCAATGCAGCTCCTTCATGCAATGTGTATTTTTGGATGCAATTTATTGGCCTCAGTGAGTTCCACAATCTAGTTGTCAATTATATGAAAAAAAAAAAATCGTCTTACCAGTTTAAAGTGTCAGACTTCTAATTTCATTGTGTTCTATACTAAACATTAGTCATAGTTTTCCTATCACTTAGTAGTGTATAAGCTGAGTGTTACATAAGTGAAATGCTAGTGTGGAAGGTTACTCAGACCCCTTACTTTGCAACACTTCTTTGTTTCTGACAGTCATTCCTCATCTGCTTTGTAATTTATCCCGAACGGTTTCCATTGAAAGAGCCTTTGAAAGAGATTTGTATAAGAAAAAACCTCACGTCTAATTTGAATTGAATTTTCATTTTGGGTAAAAATTTTCCCTCTACCCTCACTCTGTGTGTGTGTGGTGTGTTTTTTTTTTTTTTTTTAAACAGCTTTAGTAGGAAAAGAGTACCAGTGAATTTCAGCATCTCTGCATCAAGGCCATACAATTTCATGTGCTTTAAAGTGCACGGAGCTTAAGTACAGTACCAAGCACTTAGTCTGGGATTACTGTTATTGGCAAGATCTAGATTCCACATCATGGTATGTCACTGGGCCTTGGTTCCCCCATTGTCTAGAACAGAGACCAAGCTGAAGCATGCAGCAGATTTCCTGTAGCTCCTGCACCCACCTATCATTTGTACCAAGCCCTGAGAGGGAGGAGCAGCTGAGGAGGTGTCATGCCCAACAGTTGCCCAGACATGGGCATGGCTGGCTCTGAGCATGAATCCAGGCCCAGGATGCCAGAGCTAGAGAGTTGATTAGGGCCAAATATTCTTCTGGAATATGATACTGAGGTACAACTTCACTGAAACTGCTTTCAGAATAGAGTAATACTCAACAGGTATAGAGCTGATTATTCTGTTATTTCTGGGAGATAGCTAGGACATAAATAGAAATGAAGGTCGTTCATAGATGTATTCACAAATTTTTTTTTAGAGGAAAACTTTCATTCTTCTTTGACACAGAAAGAACCAGTGGGGTTTCTTGAGTAATTGGGAGTTTGATCTTGTGATCTTCCTGAAAGGCTAAATGCACTCAGTTCCCATGGTCACCAGTTAGCTCAGCTCAGTATAAAAACCATCTGCCCCTTATTTTTTAGCTACTGCACATAGGACAGGCCTAAAAGGGCTGAGTAGCTAGTACAGTGAGGTGCCTGTGTCAAAACGTAATTTGTAGGGCATGGCTGTTCTGTGAAAAATAACTTATAAAAGAATAACTCATTTGCTTTTCTGGTCAGCTAGAGCTATGAGAGAAAAACACACTATTCAGAGTGCGATACTAGCAATTTTTTTCCTGATGTCTAGAAGGCAATTGCTTGTGCTCGTTCTCTTCCTACAGTTCCTCCAACTATTTTTTACTGATCACACAACAGGATGTTCTCCCATGCTTTGTAGTTTAAGACATTATTCTTCCATTTGTGACAAATAAATACCAAACACTTACCTGCATTTCTGCTGCAACTTCATGCTTCATATTCTGCTGCAAACAAAGAAAAATGAGTGCTTAAAATGTTTTATTCAGATGAATAAAGACTATTTTAAATATAGTGGATTGATTTGAGCAGTTCTCCTAGCTGACAGCAGAACATCTGGAGAGGAGGGAAGGGCAGAGTGAAATGGGACTTCATGCAATAAGCAGTACATTTTCTTGGGTTATTGTGATTGGTTTTCTTCCCTGCCATTACTCTTTTCCTCTTTACGTTCTTTGGTGCAGTTTCTGACACAAATTAGTCTCAAACCTTATCTGAATTAAAATATTTTTCTCCTAACTTCTGTACGTTCTTTGTTTTCTCCAGCGGGAGAAAAATTATTTGTAACTGTAATTCCAGGTATCTCTGCCTTTTTCTCTTTCTCCAAGCGCTCGAGTGCCTGTCTGACGTAATAAATGAAATGAACTTACATGTGTGTATACATCCCCATACATACATATTTGCTCCATTTTCTTTTCTTTTAAATTGCTTTAATAATTCCTTTTTTAGAAGTTAGGTTTAAAAGTAGAATTATAGCTTCACAAAAATGAGTGATGAAAAGAAAGTGTTTTATTAGATCTTGCAGGTTCTGATCCTTCAGTTAAGAAACCAGTGGCTAGTCTGGTGTTGTCATGTTAAAGTCCTGAGGTCCTGATGCTAAGCCCACTGAAGTTGTTAGAAAAGACACCAACTGGCAACACAGTGTGTCCTCTGTCTGCTTCAGTGCTCTTGCCAGTGATCTGTTTCCTTCCAAATACTGAAATTAGGGAGGGTTTCATGGTGACTTCTCTGTCTCCTGGGCTTACTGAATGTATATCATATCTAATGAAATGTGCATGCATATTTGTACATAATGAAATGCATATTACAAGGTCTTGAGCAAGCTGGAGAGGCATGGATGGAACCATAGTAACTCAATGCTCAGTGGAAGCAGGACATCAGATCTCAGGTGATTTTATCCATCTTATTCATAGGGCATCACTGACAGAGCTGTGGCTCGCTGTTATTTGAAATATGAAACAGGGAGTTGTCCTGACTTTGCTTATTACTACCCAGAAGTGCTCCAGAGCTGTTTTCACAGGTCCGTAGAGGCATCCGTACCAAGAGATGAATATGCTTAAAAGTCATTGTGGAATTAGAAGGTGTAAGAATCATTTGTTTATGTTAGCAGTGAAATCATATGAATATGCTAAATTATTGAATATTTGGCTTCAGGTGTTATTTTGATTTTAGTTGTCCAGCCGTGGCACTGTGATTGTAGTTGTAACAGGGATGTATAGGTGTCTCTAAAAATAGCTGCCCTTTCATTCTTGCATTTGGTAAAATGTAAGTCAATGATAATGTGAAATGATACATTGAAAAGAGCAAGAGATAAAAAGAAATTTTATGAGACTTAGATACAGGTAATTGGTTATATAACATTCATGTTAAAGTGTCTTCTGATTGAATCAGTTTGCCTTCGATAGGTATTACTCATCTTCATTTTAAAGAATGAATGGAAATTCGAGACTTGTTCTGACATTCAGACCCAAGAGTAGTTGTCATTTGCCTTTCATCATTCAGGATGTTTTCACCTGAAAGGATTTATTCCTCCAATCAGCTATTGGAATGATAGTGAGGTTGACTGGCCAATTATTTGTTAATGGCTGATCATCTTGTGCTTTGCTGAGAGTCAGCCAGCTGTCTTATAGTCCAAAAAGTGTGAGAAAATGCTGTTGATTACAAATCACCTTGAAGATTTTGGGGTCACTGTGACCCCTCCCCCCAAAGCCCTGACTAGTTAAAAAAGAACAACAACAAAAAAAAAACCCAAAAAAACTCAAAAAGGAGAAAAGAGATGAAGAGAGCAATTTTGTTATTTTTCCTAAGGGAAGATTTTCTGTAATACAAGTATGCTACATGTAATTTCCCTCCTCCAAAATCTCCAGAAAACAAATATTTTTTCCCTTGAGTTTGCTGGAAATGGCTCTACTATTTCTCCTTGCTCAGTAGATGGCATTTTAAAACGTTCTAGCTTTGTTCATAGGTCAGAGAAGCTTTCCTACTACATTCATTTTTTTATACTGCTTAGAGTTTAAGGGAAAACAGAACAATTGCATTCTGAGGCTTTTAGAGAAAGTAAGTCAGCACATTTAATATCCATAATGTCTGCGAAACAAACAGATTAACCAGAGCAGATCAAGGAATCGGGAACATTGCAAGTGGTAGTAATGATAAAACTGTACAGTACTAGAACATAGTGGATTATTACAGAAAATGTATTTACTTAAAATAAGGGTAAGTGTAAACTCTTAACACATGCCATTGTAAGGAAGAATGAAAGGATGTGCCGATGTTAGCATAGGGTACATATGCCGGTTTCCAATCTCATTTACACTGACGTCAATCCAGGATTACTCTGATTTCTGTGGAGTTACACTAAATTCCTGCCTCTAACTAGAGATCGTAGTCAACTTTTAACTATGCTTCCAGAAGTAAGGTTTTCAGTTTCTCTTTTTATCTTAGTCATCATTTTAAATACTTAAGAGCTCCCCCTGCCCAGTCAATTATAGTGGAGATAATCCAAGCAAAGCAGATATAATCTAGATGTAAATCAGGCCACGTGATTTCCATGCTTATCCTTATTCTGAGAGTGATTCGTGATGTTGAATATATTCTCTTTGCTTTGATCGTCATCTGTGATAGAGTTTACCAGCTCCGTTTTTGGAGTCAGATCCATTAAAGTCTTACGCTCTTAGTAATTTCTCTTTCTACACGCTAGAGAAAAGTACTTTCTGGGTTGGGTCATTCTCTTATTTAGAATTGTTACTAGAGAACTGGCAGGAGTTCAGCCAAGAGCTTTCTTAGTTTTAAAAATCATTTTTAATTAGAAGTTAGTTATAGTCAGTCTTCTGCTTTTTAGTTGCCATATTGGAAGCACAGAAAATAGTTTTTCTTCAGTTTTTTTGGTTGAGGATTTTGGTCAAAATATTAAATTTTTCTGCTCTGTATGAACCTTAGTTGTGGCAGGCATCAAGGGCAAGAGAGTAAAGGTGAGGGGAAGAAAGTAAAGGTGAAGGGAAGAGCTAAGGGAGGTATTTCTCACCTTTTGTTTTTTTTTTTTTTGGCACACAGTGTTTCAAGAATGTTGATAGTGCTACCTAGGCAGGCTTAGTCTGTGGCTGATCTGCAGTTCCTGTGTCAGACATCTACCCCAGGGATTCTTCAGGTGATACATTCTGTAAGTTATAGCAAAAAGAGCCAACTTGCTTTGTCTCAGCACTGGATATTGTTCCTATTACCGCTTCTTTTAATCGAATTGACCTCTTAAATCACCTGGCTGTTAGACACGTTAACATCAACCCTGTTGAATATCTCTTGACGCTCCTTAAAAATAGTAGGTTTTATTTTTGAAAATGTAGAATGTGCTACATTTACCTGAAAAAATAAGTACAAAAACATGTATTCTTACTTAATCACTTCAGCAGTGACAGGCACGACAGGAAGATCAGTTGCTGAGTGGTCAGAGCACTGGAGTGGGTTGCTGGAGACCTGAATTCTAATTTGGCTGTACCATAACACAGCTTTGATAAGTCAGTTCTTCTCTTTCAACTTCAGATTTCCTATCTGTAAAATGAGGTTAATGATCCTGATCTTTTTTGTAAAGTGCTCTGAGATTACCAATGACAACTAAGTGTTGCTATTAAGGTTGGAAACCAAGTAGCTGTAATTTTTCCCAGGCTTTTTTGTGTATGTCACTGCTTGCAAAAAATCAGATTGCCTTTCTGCTTGCAAAAAATCAGATTGCCTTTTTGGGTACTAAATTGCAAAACCTTCCTCTTATTACAGGCTCATTTGGCAGAGGAAGAGTCTTGCTGCAAATGAGCTGACCTTCCTCTATAATCCAGCATGTTCTCTAGAGGCATTATGAAGACAACAGAGAGGTACGCAACTAATTTTCTGAGGTGATTAATCTGTTTTTTGTGGATCCAGTGTATATCACCAAATCAGTTTCAAGCAAGCAGTAGCAAAGGGTAAGGATGAGACATAAAAGCAAAGAGTCGCAATGAAATGTAATTTGTGAAGAATACATGTTACGTGTTTAGACAAGCTACAAGCATGGAACTTAGTTGCTGATTGTTCTGTAGCTTGTGGAAGGTACTACTAAGAGTATTTTACTTTACATTTTTATCAACGTGCCCTTTTATCTTATATTTCATTATTAATTCCCAAGTGAAAATGAGGCACGTTATTTTTTCTGGTTTAGACTCAGTCTCACAGGTTATACTTGTGTAGACAGAATCTGCATACTATATTGCACTATCGCTAATACTGATAAGGATGAATGTCAAAATTGCTTTCCTTGTATACTCTTCCTTAAGGAACAAACCTTTATTTATGCAAGAAAGTGATATATACCATGCTGCTTAATCACTGGTTAATTTCTATATTCCCCTATCCAGCTTACTGACTGATGCTCAGTGACTGGGCTTATAGTCATGAATTTCAATGCAAAGTGCAATTTGTGCACAGCAGATATTTTATTATATTATTTTCATGGGCGTGAGCATGATTTGATGAGACAACTTTATTTTTCTATAGTAATATTAAGAATTTCATTTTCCTGAAGAAAACTTGCCTTTGTAGAACTTTTCTTTATTTTTTTATTTTAATTTTCTAAAACACTGAAAATGGATTTTTTTTTAGAAAAAGTTGAATATTTCAATGTTTATTTCCCACAAAAAGAGAGTTCTTCCCACAAAAAAGAGCTGCTTGCTTAGAATGTCTATTTCTGTCAAAAACAGTCTCAAACTAATGTTTTGACTGATGTCTTATACTAACAGTGTTTCTATTGCTAATAATTCAGCTACATTGTTGAAATACATAATTGCTTTATTGTTTGTATTGTATATTTCAGTGATGGGGCTCAGCATTCCATATGTGGTCTCTGATCTACTCTCCCTTCAAATAGATATCTTTAAATCTTCAAGGAACTTGTATAGTTATGTTCATAGCTGATGGATAAGAAGGTGCTATCAGTTTCTTGAAGTATCAGGTCAAGACCCAGAGTCTCTTATTTTAGATGCTTTCACTTGCTTTAGATTACTAGCAAGAATTCAAGGAGGGACTCTCTCAGATTATAAACTAGATCCCTTCAGATTGTCGACTTTGTGCTGCTCTTGAGACAGAATAGGGTGGTAAGTTACCTTAAAATATTTATTTGCTCTTCTATTTCAGTTACAGCTCCCCACAAAGATTAAAGTTATGTAGTCAACTCCACCTTGCTCCTAGCTTCTCACTTCTATAGTGCCTAGGTTTCAGGCGCAATAGAAGAGCAGTCTGCTATAAATCTTGTGTGTGCGTGTACGTATGTAGTAGGTATTGTACACATAAACATAAAACAGTAATAGAACATGCTATTGGAGAGGAAGGTTTCTAATGTATGTAGGTGGAAGGGCACATTTGAGGAAGGACTGTGGCTATTGGCTGTTACTGCAGCTCCTGGAGGGTATCACGGGCCAGTCCATAAAGCTGCCTCTGCCTTGCTGCTTGCTTCCATTCTTCTCTGGGGAACACACTTTGGCATTACACCAGACAGCCATGGTAGAAAGGAGAAGACAAACTGAGAAGCTTACACAGAACATCCAGAACTCTGCACGGAAATTGTTTTCCTAACTTTTTCCCTCTGATATACCATAATTCTGGGAAATATGGAAGGACGTAAAATAGTAAAGCAGTATTTGGCGTGTAAGAGCACAAATGCTAGCAATTAATCTATTTGTAGCTCTGCCAACTTTGAATTTATCATTGCACTGAGGAAACCCAATCAGTTACTTAAAGGAAAAATGAATATGGTTACTTAATACTGATAATGTCCTTTTACGGAAGTAATACCTACTTGAAATACTTTATGGATATCTATATCCTTTCTGATTTTTTCTTTGACTTATCTTGATGATTTTTTTAACTTCCCGCCTCTAAACAAATTGTGCTGCAATGATTCCAATAGTGAGACTGTCATTAACAGCAGTTATATTCTCGTTTTCAGAAATGGCATTGTTATTCAGCTAATCAAGTACTAGCAAATTCTCATTTCTCTCATTTGTCTAGCATTTGTTGTCCATCAGCTGAGAGAGATTTTCATCCTAGCCTCTTCATTATTGACAGAAATTCCTGGAAAAGATGAATTAAACCTTTTTATGAGGAGGATCAGGATTTGTTATTTCCTCTTGACTACCTGATTATTATAAGCATCCCATTACGAGCTCCCTCCACAGTCTCCTGAAATTATATTTTGTGAATATCCTCCTGGATGAGTTTTTGTTTGTACACATTTTCCAAGAGAGGACTCAACACCTATAGCCATACACTTTCACAGTCCTATTGGAATGTCACTAGCTCAGCTGCTGATGAGGAGTTTTTTCGCTGAGATGTTCCATCTCCATGTTTTTAGGTGGAGAAAGAACACACAGCTCTGCAAAGAATAATCAGTATTTACAACAGAAAGCACAAGTTTCAAAATATTGACCCATGGGAGTTAGGGAATCAGACTAATTCTCTTGGGTAGGTTTGGAATTATATCCATAACATCTGTTTTCCCAAGGTGAAAATAAGATTTTAAAAATCCTGCCATCCGTTTAAGGCTGTGATGCAAAGGTGCAGTCTTCTCTAACGTGTTCACTTTATTCCTCTTTTGGTTGGTCAAGGTGGCTTAAAAGTAGGACAGTTTGGAATGCAAAGTTGAAAACTTCTCAGTGAGCACAAAGACAGAAGTTTTCCTTACTTCTTTTTGAAAACAAATCACTCCTACTCGTAGAATGAGTAGAATGCTAACTTTAAGAAAACACACTTTGGCAGAGCAGTTCAATTCACTTTGTCCCCTGGGCTCAGACATATGGTTATTTTACTTACGGTTAATGATTTGCTGGGCATCAGCTAAGCCACTGTCAGTTACTGTGGTGCCAGGAGTTGCAGGGGCTAAGGCTGACTCATCTGATAGGCTTCAGTATTTCAAGCGTATGTTTGAGCTGCCAGGCAAGACTTCCAAAGCTGCTATACTAAGTGTCTTTGGCATTCTCAAGGTTTTTTTCCGCAGTGGTTCGGTATCTTGGTATACATGTGGTCTTGCCGAAAAGGAGAGCACAGATTCAAAGATGCTTGTCCTTCTGTAGAGCTACCACTGAGATATCGTAGCAAGATATGCAAGATATATGGGATTTTTTCTGGCAGAAGATCTAACTGCTGCCTTTGACTGAACGAGAGCAGTCAAATAACAAACCCAAAGGATTGGACATTGAGCAATAATCCAGCAGTCTGCCCATCTAAGGTGTAGACATATGCCCGTATAAACATAACAAAAAATGAGTAGCTATTCTGGCAAATGCAATGCCAGCTCTTGGGCCAAGGCGGTAGGATTCAGATTGCACAGATTTTTGTGTGAGGCAAGTAAATGCTATAGAATTTGTCCTGTGGTACAGCAGTTTCAGAGTTAATGATGAAGCCTGAATTTCTTGGCAGCATCCATCTGCTTTCTGTGTGGTTGTAAAGATCAGCTACAAAGAACAAATTTTCAAAAAATTCCCATTTTTTTGTAGCTGGGTCTTAACTGATCCTAGGGAAGTAGATATAATTTGAATACTATGAGATAGATGGAAAAGACCCCGAAAAACATTATTCTTGCATTTCTATGTATTCTCCAAAAGTTTGAAACCTCAGTGACTTTAAAAATCTATATCTGAACCACTGTTTCATCATTTTAATGAATACGTTGGTAGTTTCAGTGGGAGCAGTATGAAAACAAGAAAGTTTAGTGGTTCCTCTTAGCTTAACGCTTTGAGTAGTGCTTCAGGAAAATTCACTTTTGAATGGCAGATGAGTGCATCACACAGGTAAATGAATTCATTTTCACCATCTGCTTGTGGGTGAAAGAAGCCCTATTAAATATGGATACTGAGGTGGAAATTTTTGAATAACCTGCAGATAAACACCTACTAGGTTTTTTGTTATGAATTTGTCCCTGGGGCTCTCACCCTCTGTCTCTAGTATCCTAAACAGTTCTAAATAGTATCTAAAAATAGTATCTAAGTAGTAAAAACAGTATCTAAATAGTATCTAAAATAGTATCTAGTTTCTAAGTAGTTCTAAAATCGAAGAGATTAATCAATTACTTTATTATTAACTTTGTTTTCCAGAGAATATTTTCATGTATTCCCTACAA